TGCCATGTTGCTGATGTCACCTCAGCACTGAGTAATTTTGACAGAGACCATATGGTTAGCAAAGCTGAAAATATTTACAATCTGGTCTTTCACTCAAAAAACTTGCTGAACCCCACTTTAGCCTGCCAGCTATGACTGACCAGCCTTAGACCAATTGGAGAACTTTGCATCCAAACTGGGGAAAAGAATGATTGTTTGTTGCAAACCTGCCAAGTGAATTAACTGTGATATCTGATTTTAGTGTCCACAACAGCCCTGATGAGAAAACTAAATCTCAAAGAGCATCAAAAGCTTGCCTGCAGATCCCACTGCGGGACGAGTCAGAAATGATCCTAGGGTTTCACTTCTCAAAGCTATTTCATTAGACTCTTTATTTTTGGCATAAAATATGTATCATGTCCTCTCTGGACTGAGCTGCTCTTGCAACAATAAATGGGTGGTAGCCATACTTAGAGCAATATGATATGTGAGATGCCTTTATATTTGTCTCATAAAACATGTTCTCATAATCTGAAGTCCAGTACTTATATTTAAAATTGATTTCTAAGACATGAAAGGCTTGAAGAAAACATTAGGTTCAAAATTTCAGACTGTTCAAAAATTATTCAAATGGAAAAATTACCTTTTGTAGGAAACAAAAGACTAATTTGAGCAAATTTCTTTTTCGCCCATAGTGAAAAATTTTGTTGCAGGTTGTAATTCCCTTCCCATTCATTAACTATTAAGAAGGTAACTCTATTTGTGTAGTTAGAATGCCTTTTACAAATGACAGCAGTCCAGGTGCATAATCTACTCACTTCCTAGTCTTCAAGAATCTGACCACGCTCATGTTCATCACCATCCAACAAACCCATCATAAGGTTGGTTGCAGTCGTTACCAGAAAATTCCAAGAACTAAAAGCTACCTGCTGTGTGCCCACCTGTGTATGTCGAAAAGTAAAGTTAGTAGGAGCAGCCAGGGACCCATTCTTCATGTATCCTGTTGTGTCACTCACTACCTTGGAGTTGAAAGAATCTGTCCAGCTCTTCATCGGTATTTAGATAAATGTATCATCCTTAGAGATAAGTGTGTCATCCATGATGTTTCCAAAGGGCTTATAGGAAAAAAAGGCAGCTTCTCTTGTTTGGAAAGAAGCAGCCAGATTAAAGAGGTCTCTAAGTAGGCCCATTTAGAAAAAAAGCATAGCCAGAATTAGACAGTTATTAGATAATTTATTAGACAAGATATTATATTATATTATATTATATTATATTATATTATATTATATTATATTATATTATAAGACTATGATCAACTGCCTAATCTTGGTGTACAAAGAGAAAGTTAGATCACTAGATCAAAAACATATGAAATATCAAAGAGGGACATCAGCAAGATGTCGGGATAGGAAGTTCCACAGTGTCCCTTCACAGAAAACTGATAGAAGAAACCAACCGTGCATGAAAAAGCCTTCATGAGAGCTCCGTATTCCAGATGAGGGATTACAGCACTTCAGTGGAGCCCAGAAACAAGAAAGGATGCAAATAAGATGGTACGCAGGACAGTTCCACTCATAGGTTCCAGGCCTGCCCCATGAACCTCAGTGCCAGGTTGGCCCTGTGGCCCTGAGTATCAGGCTTGTACAGTGGTCCCCAGCACAAGGCTGAGCCACGTAGATGTAGGCTTCAGACCTGCCACAGTGCCAGGTCAGCCTCTGATGACTCAAGGAGGTGAAAGACCTGTACATTAAAAACTAGCAAACATTGATCAAAAAATTGAAGAAGACACAAATAAATGGAACGATCTCCCATGTTTATGGATTAGAAGAATCAATATTGTTAAGATGTTCATGCTATGCAAAGCAATCTACAGATTCAATTTAATCCCTACTAAAATTCCAATGGCATTTTTCACAGAAATAGAAAAAAACAATGCTAGAATTCCTATGGAACCACAAAAGACCCCAAATAGTCAAAGAAATCTTGAGAAAGAAGACCAAAGCTGGAGGCATCACACTTCTTGATGTCAACTAATCTTTGACAAGGGCACCACAAACACACAATAGGGAAAGGATAGTCTATCCAACAAATGGTGTTAGGAACACTAGAAATCCACATGCAAAAGAATGAAATTGGACCCATACCTAAACCATGCACAAAAATCCTCACTTCAAAATGGGTTAAGACTTAAAAAAAATATCATAAAATGCCTAGAAGAAAACATAGCAACAGCTCCTTAGCGTTGGTCTTGGTGATGGTTTTTTGGATTTGACGACTAAAGCACAGGCAACAAAAGCAAAAATCCACAAGTAGGACTGTATCAAACGAAAAAGCTTCTGCACAGCAAAGGAAACCATCAACAAAATGAAACAGCAGCCTACTGTACATTTACCCTCCCTCTCCCCCTGTGGGGATTAATCTGACCTGCTTCCTGGGACATCATCAAAGAGACTTGGGTCAAGAATAGAAAGCTCAAAGTCAAAACTCAGGACTACTCCAGGTCATTTCTCCACCATCTTGTGAGACACTCTCCTTTATGAATATGACTTTACTCTCTTTTTGTCCTTGTCATTTAACCACACGAACCTTGGTACTCCCTCTCAGGACACATGGTCCCCAGTCTTTTCGTAATCCCAAATCCCAACATTCTTCTCTGCTATATGACTATTCATTTGATTACCCCATGGACCACTTGGTGTTCATAGCTCCTTTAGAGCTTAAATCAACAGTGAAATTATCATCCACCCCACTCGTAGTTACTCACTCTCATTTCCCAGATGTTTCCATCAACCCAAATGGTCATGTTCAAAAATAAATAATTCAGAAAACATACTCACCTACCACAAATTCCTGATTTCCATTTTTTTTTTACTCACTCCTAAGAGTAGATGCCTGTTCCTCAAGACCAAAGTGATGCCAGATGTCCATATCTTTACCTTAATTTCTCTTCTTTTCCTATCAATCCTGGATTCCATGGTCTATGATCTCAATAATTCCCTTGGAATGATCCAGAATTCCTTACTGCTCATCATATATGCCTTGTAAACCTTCAAACCCAGAAGATCCCGATTATCTGCCATAACTGAGCTACTGCTGGTCTCATGATAACTGCTAAGAAAAGCATAATGTTGGTACCACTATATATCAAAATCATCCGCATCAACTGGGAAACATCCATAGTGCAAGGAAATTTTACTTTCTTTTCATGTGTTGGCATATTTACTCCTTGATTTTTCTCAAAGCTCGTTTCAAATATTCCCCACATTTATTTTTATTTCATACACATTCAAGGTCCCTTAACTTGCCTGATATTTCACAGGGAAACTGCTGTCTCTACTCCTTCCTCATAATTGTGAACCATTGAGAAAAGGTCATCTACATTACGTGTCTCTGAGGCCTCACCTCCAACCACCCCCTCAGACCACCCCACACTCCATCTGCCCTCACCATTCTATGGCTGCTCCCCTTGTAAGGTCACAGTGGCTCCTTTGTTATCAGATCCAATAGGAACTTTTCGCTATTCATCCAACATGATCTTGAAATGCAACACTTTTAAGTACGTTTGGAACAATTTAGATATGTGAATCTTATTTTACAACCTGGAATGTTATAATATCTCAAGACAGAGAATGTATATCAGAAAAAATTCAGCTTACAATGGAGATTGTGCTGTAAGCGGAAAGTACAAACTAGAGTTGTGGAATGCAGTAAAAAAATTTAAGCTATCTTGGTATTAATTTTCATATAGACTGCATGCACAAATGATAATATCTTGGTTACAATGGGTTAAAATATACTATTAAAATTCATTTCACGTTTGTTTTCACTTGCTAAAATGCAGCGTCAAAGAAAAATTTCAATTCCATAAAAAAGAGAGCTTAATGCTACTATTGGACAGCACTGGTCAAGTCACAACTGAAAATAAGACCCAGAGAAAATGGTCAAAATTTTTTGTCCCAAGAAAAGGAGTGGGCCCTAGCCCACACAGCAAGGTGAAACAAACACTCACACACACAGAGACACACGCTTACAAAATGAAAAACATCATCCTAGAGTACCACCACTACACCTCAAAAGGAAAAAGCTTGCACTCCTACATTGTCCTAAGTGGTCTCGTCTCAAGGAGGAAGTTGGAAGTCAAGAAAATTTACCAATTAGGAATGTCTAAAAGGGAAGCGTAAAGGTCAAGGTTTTCTGTGAATTTTCTGTCATGGTTTCTGTTATTAATTCAATATGTTAGGGAGACTTCTTCAAGAAGAGCTGTTTTAAATCTCTTTTTGTTACTATATAAAAATACATAAGATATGTAAAGAATATAAACTCTACCCAATCAATGAAAAGGAGATGACAGAACACGAATACTATTATTATAAATTACTGAATCAGTCAGGGAACAGATAACTTTGGACTAACGGGACCTCATTAGACTGATCCTGATTTCATGACCACCACATTGATTGTATTATGCTAGGACCTATGAGATGTGCCAGCCTCTCCTGCTATTTTACCACCAGGGCGCGCCACCCAGCCCAGTCCTTGCTGAGGAATCCCTCCTCTGTCCCTTCTACAACACCTGTGGGATTTTCCCCAAATCCCACTCTGTGCCTGCTCTGTTCTTCTCGCCCCAGCCCAGGAAAACATTTTATCCAAGGCTCACGCTCTGTGTGCCTACTTCTGGGGATGGCATTTCTCCCTTGAGTGGAGCAAAAGACCAGATTGCAGACCCTGTGAGATGCAGAAATTGGACAAGGACTGGGGTTTGCCGACGGAGATGAGAACCTTCAGTGGGCACAGTTAGGGGGGCCCAGGGAGCCCCAGTGATTCCTCCAAGGAAGGCGATGCAGGACACAGCAGGTGTGTCTGGGTGTGATTCTGCTTGGGAGTGCCGGTAGGATGACGTAGGGGACGTTGGTAATCCATTCACCAACGGTGTTCATTTGTTTGCTCATCGTATGTCATGGAGCGCTTCCTACATACACCCAGGCACTACTAGTCTACCTTCTGGAACTTACAGGGTCAAATCAATTTTTAAATTTTATTCATAATATATAGATACAGTGCTGTAAATGCTAGGTGTTACAGGCACTTTTCAAGCATTAACTCCTTTAGTACTCTCCATGGCCTTACAAAGTAGGTACGCTTATCATTACTGTCAACTGACAGATGAAGAAACTGAGGTACCAACAAGGTAAGTAACTTGATCAATACAAATAACCAGTAAGCGATTGAGTTGGAGTTTGAACATAAGATGTCGGCTCATATTCTATGCTCTTAACCATGATATTTAATCTCTAAAGACTTCACATCATGAAAAAATTGGATCAATTTATCCATTTTCTTGATATATCCCATAGCCACACTATTTTGTCTGAATAGTACCTATAGAGAAACTATTGTACATACACACCCAAATTACTTCTGCCAGCATCCCCACTTCCTAAAAATTAATACAGAGAACATTTCAAAACATTTCTTGTCCTGGCTGGGAGGTCTCTGAGAAAATCTCATTGTTCATCTAATAAGCCAAGGGCTGGCTGGGAGTTGGGTCTCAGGGGAAAGGTGACCTCAGGAGAACCACTGAATTACCAAATTGCTGGGAGGATCTCAGCAGTAACTGAATTCAGGATCTGGTGGTATTTCAACCTGGGTGCCTGGTGTAACCAGGATTTGCATCTGCTTCAGACAAAGCAGACAGCCCTTCCTCATGGACTCAACTTTATCTAAATGTGATCAAGACAAAAGAAATAATGTCATGCACCTCTGGATGTGAGACTGTGCTGGGAGGTTCTGAAAGGCCTCACTGAGGTGATTATTTGCTGTAGCCAGAATGACAAGTGTAAGCCACCCCTGCCTATATCTGGGAACAGTTAGCATGTCAGGGAGAAGGCACCCCTGGTGCAGAGATTCACAGGAAGAAGTGAGTTTGACCAGAGGAGGTCAGAAAGGTGGCAGGTGTGGCTGGAGAGAGCCTGATAAGAGAGAGGAGGGTGATAGGGCCAGATCGTGGGACATGGTGGACTGTGTTAGTTTCTGTTCCTCTATGACAACATTGCTCCAAAACCTTCCACCCATAAGGAACAAACAGTTAACATCCTGCACTTTCTGTGGGCCAGGCATCAGGCAGAGCTTAGCTGGGTGCCTCAGCTTCAAATTCTCTATGAAGCAGGGGCTGCGGTCTCAACAGGGCTCAACTGGGGGAGGACTCCCACCCAAGATCGCTGACATGGGTGTTGTCAGGATTCATTTGGACTGAGAGTCTGAGTTCCTGCCTGTCTGTTGGCTGGGCACCCCCTCAGTTCTCTCCTATGGAGCCTCTACACAGGGCAACTGAAAGCATCAGTGCTTGCTCTCTCAGTTCCAGAGATAAGACAGAGAGAGAGTTGCAAACAGGAGAGAGAGAACGAGGGAACCCAAGAACGCCTGTAAGAAGGAAGTGACAGGCTCTTCGTAATTAAAACTTGGAAGTGACATCCCATCATCTTGGGGGCATTCTGTTGATCAGAAGCCAGTTACTAACCACTTAGCTGTCACATAAGGACGTGTACTCCAGGAGGCAGGGAGCACTGGGAGCCATTGTGGAGGCTGCCCCACACACAGGCCGACATGAGGCACTTGGGTCTGATTCTAAGTAAAACAGGAGACCATGGGAAACTTTTGCCAGTGGATCACAATATATGAATTTCTTCTAATTTCAACCCCTGAAAAGTGCAGACCTGAAAATGAGGCCCAGGGGGCAGTGAGTGTCTCAATCTTCCATCTTCCATCTCTAAGTTTCTGTATCAGACACATGTGACTCTAACCCACAGAAGTCATAGGTATTGTCACATACACACCTGATGATGTGCCTAGGAAATTGGTTTTAGCACCATCTCCACTGTGCAGGTTGGGAGACTGGGGAGGCCATGAGAGGCACAAATGGCTTTTCCAGGACTCAGAATTGGTAGGAAAAAAGAGGTCTGAACTCAGCTGTGTCTCCTCAAAGCTAGGGCCCTGGTCCCATTCCCAGAGCGCTGTGGGGAGGGCAGTGATGGATATTTGTGTACAATTATGGAGATGACATGGGCAAGGGCGATGAGCAGTCAACAGCCCAGAGGAGTCTTTGGGTGGGTCTGATTGAAGGAAGGGGCCCAGATAATGGAACCTTGAGAAGTGACCTCACTTCTTTGGTGACAGACCCCAACAGAACTTAGAACTTTGGTTACCAGGCACCCACATTCTAGACACAGCCTCACATCCAGCTCACTTGAATGGAGGCACTCAAGAGAACAAGATGTTCTCATGTTGTGCCGCAACTTTCCGAAGCTCTGGCTTCTAGAAATCTGACGAGAGCCTTTTTACCCGCTGTAGACATTGACTCAACTCTCACCTCTAACACCTCTGGCCTTTTGGCAGGAGGAGGAACCCTCAGGCAACACAGGGCAACCCAGGGCAGGCCACTCCAGGTCAGGTCACAACTGTGCTCCCACCTGGCCAGCCCCACACCCCTTGATGCTCAAGGTGTGTGTGTGTGTTTGGGAGGTGCACTTAGGAAAGGTGGGGATGAGGGGGGACACATCCCGGGTAGGAGCAGGTAGTGAGATGTTGGAAGTCTGGCAATGGGTCATCTTCATACCCCACATCTTGCCTGGCAGGGTAGGAAGTTGAGTGCTGGGGACCGAGCTCCTTTATCCCTATGTGAATCCCAAGCCCACCAGGTGTCATCACATTCCAGCCCTGGCTGGAGGTCTATGCAGGTGCCCCTCTGAGCCTGATCTGTGGTGCGGGTTCCCCCTGGTGAGGTCCAGGCAGGCCCCTGATCCCTCCTGGTCTTTCTCCCGGGCACTGTGTTTGCAGAGCTGCACCCACAAGATGGTCACATAGTTAGTGAATGGTTTCAACTATGCCGTCTCCCTGGACAGGGGGCGGGTGCTCCAGGCCACCAACAATGACCCGGGCCGGGTCTTTTCTCTGCATTGGTGCAGAGGGGTCTTCACACCCAGGACCCTGAGATGACCGAGGCAGTACCAGAATCCAGACCCAAATCTGAGACTCCCCTGAGACGCTCCCAGTGTTTTCTCACTAGAGTGTCCCACAGTCCCACTCCCAAAGGAATCACGACCTCCCCTCCTCCCCACCAGCTACATAGGCAGAAAGAAAGTAACCTCCATCCTCCTAGTGGTTCACGGTGATGCCACTGATTTTTTGTGTGTCCCTCCTCCTTCCACCCAGAGTGAAGATGACCCCTTTGTGAATTTAAATGAGGCCTGCCGGTGGCGGTCCCTCCAGCAGGCCTGATGGAGACTGACAAAGTCCACGGCACCAGCTTTCCTAGGTAGAAACATCTCAAATGTCACCACCTTTGTGTTCAACTACTCGGCCTTCAACACATCCCCCAGGTCCTGGACCAGCTGTTTACTGGGTGACTGCCCACTGCCAGCTGTAATTCTTGTAATGTCACTGCATCTCCCTGAGCCTCACTTTGCTCCTCTGAAAAGCGGGGTGGGAGAGGATAAACGTCATGGGGTTCTTGGAGGGACTAATGGGATCAGCCATGGCGGGTGCTGACCTGGTGCTGGCTCTGCAGATGGGGCTGTGGGGTGAGCTGTGGTTGTTCATTTATTATTGGTTCTTCCTCATGGAAAGTAGTCTGTCTCACCCGTCTCTGGGATGTGGTCTTTCTGAGTTTGGCAAAGCACACGGACAGCACCCTGTCAAGGAGTTTGAGATTCCAGAGAGATGGTCTGGTCCTTGTGCTTGGTGGGCCAATTAAGGATGTCTGGGGAGCAGAGGGGCCCCAGGCCCACTCGACATCTGGGATGCTTCTGGCTGGACTTCATTACTCAACCATGTATGGAAGCACCTACTAGTGCAGGATTTTTGGAGACACTTAGCATAACTCAGTGAATCCAGGTGTCCAACAGATACAACCCTGGTCTCAGTTGTATCTGAGAGTCAAAGTCACATTAGACATCATTCGCAAGTCCTGTCGTCCATCGCCATCCCAAATGTGCTCTCGTCACCCCTTTACATCGGAGGCATCTTCCATTATCAAAACCAGAGGGCAGACCACAGGATGCCGTAATAAAATGAGTGGCCTCTGGGTCCAGAAGGAGGCCCCTGTCTCTACAGAACAGGGTTGGGGGAAATGGGGGACGGTGGCTGGGGCCAGGCTGGCAAAACCCTGCATCTCACACATGTTTTGATTCTCATTGGAAGGCTGAGGTCTGATGGCTTCCATTCCAGGAGGTCAGGATTCAAAGACCTGTAGATGGGTCCCAGGACCCCTGGGAACCAGAGTGGAGGCTGGGCTGGGCTGTCCCCTAGAGACCCATCCCACCACAGTCCTATCTTGATCTGCCTCACCTTCTCCACATCCACTTCTTCGGACCACCCCAGCAGGCCCAGAACAGGAGGTGTGTGAGCAACATGGTCCACTCTGCCTCAGTCCTCAGTCCAGTTGCATAAATGCATGGAGGGCTGGGGTGGGCTTTGTCCAAGCCCTTCAGGAAGAGAGTCAGTGGGAAGAACAGACTCACACGACTCTGTGTTCAACTTGCTGGATGAGCATCCTGCCACCACCAGGACAGCCACACAGGGCGGGACTGGGCGGGGCTCTCCTCTGGATGGAATGGGGGGCACAGGGGCCCAGACCAAATAAGGGGCCTTCAGTGGGCAGTGTGGAGGGAAAGACCAGGCCTCTGACTCTGTTACCCAATGCCTTCCCCCAGTGCCGTCTCTTCGCACATGAAGCTGGCCCGTGTGCACGTGAGCTCGCCTACCTCAGAGCGGAGGGCCACGCCTCCCTCCTCCCAGTCCAGCTGGAGCCTCCAGAGCCCGGAGGCAGAGCTGGAAGGTGAGGGCCCTGCAGTCTGGGAAGATGATTTGCAGGGGGTTCACGGGCTGGGTTCCCTTAAGGCAGTGGGTCCTTCCTGTCTTTGGAAAGACTCAGGGGAGGTCATCTACTTGATGATACTTTTTCTTTATGCTGCTCCAGGACCATCTCCAGAGCTCCCACCAGCTCCAGAGCCAGAGCAAGGGCCAGCTCCATGGCCGGGCCACTCCAATTCTAGTTCTACCACCTGTGCTAGAGCTGGAGCAAGTGTCACCTCCATCAGTACCCCCAGGGCCAGAGCCATGCCAACAACAGCTCCAGCCCCAGTGCCAGATCCAGCTGGAGCCCGCTGGACCCTTGTCTCCAGGGAGAACACTTCCTCCATCTGGAGAGATTACATCAGAGCCATCCAGTCCCAGAGCCCACCTGCCCCGGCTGTGACCACCAAGAGCCTGCTGTGGGAGGAGAAGCCTGACTTCCTGGGTTCCGTCCCCAGCTGATTGCAGAGCAATTTACACTGATGGATGCGGTGAGCAGCCGGGCTCTCAGGGCAGGTGGGGCCGCCTTCCCTGTGCCATCAGAGGCCCAAGACCTGCTGTTTCCTGATCCAGAATCCCATGTCCTACATCCAATCCCAGCTTCCCACTTACACACATGTGCCCTGGGCAACCTCTTAACTCCCAAGCCTGTGCTGTCCGCATGTAGACACTAGACATGGACAAAAGAGCATCTGCCAGGCATAGCGGCTGTGCAGACGAATGAGGCGGAACAGAGAGGAAGGTGGGCAGAGTCTGGCCCTTTGGCGGGGGAGGGGAGGTCACTGAAGGGCTGTCAGGTCCTTGGGTGGGTCATCCATTTGCACAGGAGGCATCAACAGCCTTAGCAATTATTAGGGACCTCATATGTAATGACTACCTGGGAGACAAACATACAAAGATTGTGATTGTTACTCCTTGGGAGGACTGCACATCTGAATGAGGAGTCGGGCCCCAGGGTGATCAGAAAAGGTGGACGATGCCCCTTGCGTTCGTCAAGTATCAGCGGGGTTCTGGTGCCTGGAGTAGTGAGACTGGGCTGGGAGCGAATGCCACTTTCCTTCCCCACACTATTGGTCCTGGGTCATCCTGTGCTGGGTGCCCTCAGTGGGCATAGACAAAACCCAGGGACCCCCACAAGCCCCAGGCCACATCCTCAGCTTCCTGAGCTCCAGCTCTGACCACTGACTCTGCCTGGGACTGTGGACTGTGGACATGGAGCAGGCATGTGACAGGGCTGGGTGACACTCTCTTCCTCCCCAGGAGCTGTTCAAGAAAGTGATCCCCCCCACTGTCTGGACTCCGTCTGGTCCCCATGGGACAGCAGGGGCAATGAGCACCTGGCATGCACCATCCGTGCCACCATCACCCAGTTTATCACAGTGGTCAACTGTGTTGTCACCACCTGCCTGGGGGACCTGAGCATGACAGCCCAGGACAGGGCCAGGGTGGTGGAGCTCTGGATCCAGGTGTCCAAGGTACCTTCTGGGCGGCCCAGGGAGCCCCTCTCTGGAGTCATGGAAACTGCCCCTTCTCCTTCCTCAGCTCTCAGGATTGAAGTCTGTGCTCTGAGCCCTTGCACAGTCCCCAGGCCCCTCCTGCCGGGGCCTCACTGACCTTGACTCCTGGTCCCAGCGTGGGAAGCTCACTTCTTCCTGGGCTCCTTCCTTGGGTTGAGCTCAAATTCTCCAACCTGGGAATGCTACTCATCAGGTCCCAGGGGTGCCCTCACTGGGTTCCTCAGCATGCGTCTCATCCAAGACAGGAGATGTCCATGAGGGAACAGAAGCCAGAGGCAGCAGGGCTCCAGCTCTCCTCACCAGCTCACTCTCTTCCCTGCCCCAGGAGTGCCAAGGCCTGAGGAACTTTGCTTCACTCTGCCATCATCTCTGCTCTGCAGAGCTGCATGATCCATCGGCTCAAAAAGACATGGGGACATGTTTCCAGGTGGGTAGGCCTCTCTTCATGTGAGCATCACCTGGGAAGACCAGACACCCCCCATATGCTGGCATTGCCCCCTCAGTAAGCTGGCACCACCTTGGAGACAGCAAACCCTGGTGACAGAGACTCACCTGGCTGGCGGACTCTGAGTCTCTCTGGAAACTTAGGCCGGGGGCTTCTGCTTCAGGAATCAGTGTCCCTGAACGTCAGGTCCTGGGTTGAGGCAAAATGAAGATTTTCAAGTATTTGCTTTGCAGCAACAGAACTCTCCATCCGACTGAAACCACGACTGTTGAAAACACATCTGCTGAGGAGTTACAGGAATGGAGGCCCAGGTGACACCGGGAGAGCCCCCTCCCCAGTCCCGTGGAGACCCCAGGGCTCAGAGGACCCAGGGAAAATGCTCATCCAGGATGTTTGGATATTCTGGGTTTTCAAAGACACAGGGTTTACCCTTAAACCACTGCACAGGTTTTCATTCCTTTTCCCCCCTCAGGAAGAGCTCTCAAAAATTTTACAAAATTGTGCACCAAGGACCAGCGGGTGAGCAGGAAGCTGCTCATGGAGGTGAGTGGAGGCTGCAGATCTGGAAGGAGGGGAGGGTGAGGGGAGGAGGGAGCAGGCAGGATGCGCTTTGCTGAGTTTTTCCCTTAAAGTTTCTCTGAGGAATAACCGTCTATATTGTTCTGATTGACAGGAAGAGGGTGTTAGCTGCGTGGATGGGTGGGGGCAGTTAGGGACAGGAGGCCTTGGTCATGGGGCCCAGGGGTGTTGGCTGGACTGTCCAGGAGGGAGAGGAGCCAGCAGGATGAGCAGGTCTCTGGCTCCCATGCGGGTCCATCAGCCAGCACTTGACTCTCTCCAGGCTGTGGGTGGATGGAGGGGGTGGGGACTCTTTTCTTCCTGAAGCAGCCCCGTCTGTCCTCAGGAAGCCAGGCACCTGCTGCTCCTTCTGTCTTGGCTGCACGTCCAAGGACAGGGCACCCTGCCAGCCCCTGAGGTGGGCACTGCATGGTCCCATGGGCCAGGTGGACATGAGGGCTGCCCAGCATGGGATGAATGGTGGACCTGGGACAGAACTGTGTGCTCTCTGGGACTCCCCACTGTGCCCTGATAGTGGTCACTGCTGACATACCCAGTGGGGTTCTCACCTGCTGCCTTGTTGGCAGGGCACATGCCCCAGATGGCAATGAGAGTATCGGGGGATCCAATAGATTCTTCGTGGACCTTCCTGACTGGATGTTAGAAGTTTCCAAGAACAAAAGGAAGCAAATGTCACCATCAACCAGTGCCCTGGTCACCCCGTAACTGTCACTCAGATGTGGCACTAGGGGTCACCTTCCTGAGTGGATGAAAAGAGAGTTCTGTTCAGGGGAACGTCCTGAGGGATCCTAGGGAGCTGAGGCCTTTGGCATGGCCTCAGGTATAGCCTGGGGTCAGAGAATCCCAGGGGGCTGGGACAGGTAGATGCCACTTGGACAGGCCCTCTGAGACACCCTGCCCCTTGTCATCCATGGCTCAGCCTGGCTGAGGGTCTGCTCACACCCTGAGAGTCCAGAGGACATGACCATGTTCAGAGGTGTGTCTGTAGGTGGGGTGAAGGCAGATGGACAGGGCCTCTGGCTGGGAGGGGAAGGGGTCTCTCCTCTGTGGGCCTCTGAGCAAGTCAAGCCCCTCTGTGAGCCTCGGTCTCCCCATGTGGGACGTGGAGGGAGGTGATCTGTGGTACAAGCCCCACAAACGGGGGATGAGGTTCAAGGGAGGAGAGGAATGTGCAGGAGCTGTGTGCCGCCTCCTCCTCGAGGGGTGAGGGGAGAGCAGTGATGACAGTCAGATGACACTGAGTCCTCAGGAGGCCCTGGGAGGCAGGTGGAGTTCTCCTCACCCTTTCCAGATGAGGACAGAGTCTGAGGAGCCTGGACAGGCCTGAGGCCACAGAGGAGCGAGTGTTGGAGCTGGGACTGATCGAGAATCAGAGCATCTGGAAAAGGGAGCAGCCACACACACGAGATGTCCAGGGTCCAAGATCAAGGGCCTGGGACACATGCCGAAGGGAGCATGGCCTAACTGACCTTGTCCTTGACCCTGCAGGAAGCGACCTCTTTGTGGGAGACCCTGGAGATGGATCCCTGGATAGCCCAGGAGAGGCAGCAGTGGCAGGTGAGGGTGCCTGTTGGGGAGGAGGGGTCCATGTGTCCGAGGAGAGGGTGCTCCACCCTCACAGCTGGAGGCCTCCACCAAGAGAGAGGTCCCTCCTCCTCCAGCCCAGCTCCTGGCCACACAGAGCCTGCACTGGCTGCATTAGAAGTGAGCAGGAGGAGGCCTGGCAGGGCTGGCCCAGGAGGGACTTGGGGTGGGGAGGAGCAGGGACCACATTCCCTGGGATCTGCATAAAGCCAAGCCTGGGAGGTGACAGTGGAGATTGGTGTTCCTGGAAGGGGCTCCTGGGGGAGACTGCTGAGGGTCCTGGGCTGCTCTATGTGGGAGTCTGGGGTGGGCAGGAGGCTGGGGTGAGGGTTTTGGGGGGAGGGTCCCATGGGGGCACATGAAAGCCGGGACTCAGGGTGGCTCAGGGTGTCATCCCCTTCCTGGGCTCACTCCTCGATTACCTGCAGCTGCTGGACACTGAGATGGAGGATTATCTGAAGGAGTGTGAGCACAGAGGGGGAAGAGGGAACAGGATCCGGAGGTTTGGGAGGCGAGAGCCCTGCACTGGGCCCTGAGCTCTCAGCACTTGGCAAAGCTCCTCTCCTGAGAACCTCCTGGCCGCCCCTGGAGCTGGGGCCTCAGGCACATCTTAGCAATGTGAGACCCAAGGCTCTGCATAAGCCCCCCTCCAGGCTCCCTGGGCTGGGGGAGCTCAGAGCTGCCTGACTACAGAGCTGCAGGAGGTGGTGTCAGAGCTGGACTCAGCCTCTCCCTCAGGCCCTGCCCCTGGGGGAGTGAAGTCAGCCCCTGCAAGTCAGGAAGCACATCCGTGGTCCAGCTGTCCCTTCCTTTCTGAGGGCTCAGTCTCCCTGTCTGTCATCAGAGAGGTTGGAGCTACAGAGTCTGTGGCCTCAGTGCCCCTGTCCTGCCTGCGCTGGAGCCCAGAGCCTGGCCCAGGTTCAGGCTCTATTGTGGCAGTGTCTGCCCTCTGCCAGGCCCTGGCAGTCCTGCAACCTGGGAAGGGGTGGGCTGGGGGCTAGTCATGGGCCAAGGGGGCTGTTTCTGATGGACATTGGCTCTCTGCCTTCGAGGGAAATATGGTGAACTTCCAGAAATGGAGTGAGGTGAGCAGCCGTGCCCTCGATGTGGGGAGGGTGGGGCTGTGGAAATCACAGATGTCCCCTGCAAGACTTTCTCTGGCCTCATCCCTTGGGTCTTATCTTTATTGGGAGAGTTAGATACAGGCAGCTGGGGATCCCATCACATTGGTGGGTGGGAGGAGGGGCTGACATCGAGGACACCTTCCTGGATGAGGAACTATTTCAACCCAACTGTGAGAACAGGCACATCCTGAATGGAGTGGGAGGGAAGGAGGGTTCCCAATGAGCAAAGACCCCAGAGCAGCTCCTCACTACCCACAAGTTCCTGGCTGGGTTCCCCCCCCAGGCCCTGTCTGCATCCTGTCCTTCCTCCCAGAAATTCAAGGTCATTAAAAGGATCCAGCTGCTCCAAGAGGCTGCCAATGAATGCCACCTGCAGCCCGAGGAGCAATTTGGGGCCTGGTTCCAGGCCATGGAGCCCCTCCGTGAGGATGAGAGGTGAGGGCTCAGGAGCTGGGTGAGTGCAGGGCAGACTCTCTCTGAGGGCCAGCTCCGGACCAAGTGCCCACGGCTCCCTGATCAGCCCCAGACCTTGTTGCTTGGTGAACCCTGGCGAACCAAGACTCCAGCTGCTGGCAGGCTCTGGGAGGGACACTTGAGATGTGGCTCCTGGTAGCTCACAGGTCCACTCTGTCCTGTAGCTACAGCCTGTCCTGCCAGCTGGAGCCCCCAAACCTGAAGGTGAGCAAAATGCGAGGCTTCTTCAGGACCAAGAAGAACCGGCCATCCTCAAGATTGGGGCTGAGTGAGTGTCGGGACTGCAGGGACTGAATCCAGGGGCTCACAAAGCTTTAGGCTCAGTCTGTGCCTGGATCCCAGCTCCCCTGCTGACCAGTCCTGTGACAGGCCACTCCCTTCTCCTTGCTGGGACTCAGTTGCCCCCTCTGGTACGGGTGATGCTTTACGGTACCTCAATGTCAGACGAATGGGGTGCTGTGGATGCACTGAGCACTCAGCACCGGGTTTGGAGCACAGAGTGCAGTGGGGGCAGGGAGCTGGGCCATGCTTCTCAGGGAGGGACCCCAAAATAGCCTGTTTCTTCTATTCAGCTGCCATGCCCTTGGCCAGGAGCCATCACACTCTAGATGCCACCACAAGCTCAGCCTCTTCAGGCGCAGGGACATGGCTGGGACCCTCGGGGTGCACCAGGCCAGCTCTTCCCACCCAGATGTGAAGGAGGACGTTGTAAGCTCTTTCCTGGTTTTGCCTAAATCCCAAAGGGCAGGGGACGATCCCCCTCCAGCTCCCTGACATCTCTACCCCAGTGTCTATTTGCCTATTGGGGAGAGCAATATTATTTAATAGTAAGTGTCAGATTTGAATATTATACTAAAATCCTGTTTCTGTTACAGCCTGGGAGTTGTGGTGTGGTTCACCTCCTGTGCTCATCTCATATAAATGAGACACAGAACCTCACCTTCCTCCTTGAATTAAGAACTGGTGCACGGTCACAGCTCATTGTATGTGGGACAAGGGAGGAAGGCCAGCCCCCTCCCTGGCAAGTTAAGGACCCCCCAAGTCCCCTTCCTTAGAGGACAGGTTCGTTTCAGTGTGGTTCCCCTGGGCCAGGAGCAGAGACAGCCCCTCAGATCCCCCTGGATTTAGAGGCTGGAGGGATTTTCCCAGCAGAGCAACCAGCACAGAAATGTGGGTCTTTCAGATGGCACTTGCCAGGACCATGTCCTTCCCCGGGACAGTGGCTGCCTTTCTACAGCTTTCGAAGAAGAAGGAATGTTTTCTGCTTCTCTTGTGGAGCTTTCTTTTGATCAATTTTTGGAACGTGTAGTTTTCTAATGAATCTCTGGAATTGCACTAACAGTAAATGGGGAAAAAATGTAAACAGATAAATCTTTGCATGTGGAAAGGACAAGGCCAGAGGAAGACCATTTGCAGACGGACTAAGGGCAGGCAGGATATCCCTCTGCAGGGCCACCTCTAGGGGCTCCCTGTTCACCCTTTACCTGGATTGGACTCCTCCCGGGATCCTGGTCCATGACCTTGGAAGTCCTTTTCCTGCTTGTTTCCTATCCAGAGGGAAAGATTTGTGATGCAGCTTTTAAAGCTACAACAGGGCTTTGTTGCATAAGCATCACTGCTCCCTGTGAACTAGATTTCCAGCATCCCTCACTTCCTTCTACAATTCTTTTTGGGCAGAAATTCCCTAAGGCCCCAGCCTCTCTGTCAGGTACAACGTGGCCATTCCTACCTAGCCAGGCCTGATGGATCAGCCGTGAGCTCTGGTTTGCCCAGGATAACGCACCTTAATCCTGGGCAGTGCATGACCCACACTCTCCCTTGCTGCCCAGGGTCCCATGTGGTTCTGAGGTTCATGCTCTCGGACAAACAATAGTTTACATGCTCAGTCTTATTGTTACCAGCTTGACCTAAAGGGTCATCTGGGCTCAATCCTATAGAGCTTCTAGCCCCCAGGATGGCTGTGTTCTTTTCCCCAGTCTTGTGCTGTGGTTATGTGGTTACGTGTTATGGGGATGTGAAACTTTCCTGTTGGGAGTTTTGAAAGATAAGGCATGAGAGGTGCCAGTATAGAGATGGGTCTAGCAGGGGAATGCCACCAAACTGATGAACATGGGCCTACACACACAACCTTACCAATTAAAATACTGAAACGCTTCCCATCTGGGTAGTGAATTGATACTGCTCTGAGCTCACCCTGAGAACCCGCCTCATGACCAGGAGCTACAGGGTTATCACCTGGCATTTTGAACGTCATCCCCTGAAACACTGTAAGACAAGGGCCACATGAATTCCTTGGTGGTTCTTCCTCCTCCTTGCTGAAGGCTGCAAGTGTCACCCTGGGAGGCCCTTTCAGTTCAGCCAGAAGCCGAGTATAAATCCCGCTTCCGGCAGCCCAGGCCCTTCCTGACAGGGCACAGCCATCCAGGAAAGAAAGAATTCACATATTGGTGTAGACACATTAACACACACACACATATCCCACCCAAAGCCCAAGATGCATGAACTACAGAGATCAAAAGTGACTTCAGAAACAGATCAACCAATTGCAAACGAAGGGTTTCATCAAGATCCTGACTCAAATAAAATGTAAAACCAAGAAACAACCCGGAGAAAACTGGGAGACTTTGGAGGCTGACTAGATAGTTGATTATAGGAGTGACATTTTTACTTTTGTGTGTTATAACTCTGTTGGGTTTGAGTCCCAAAAATCTCTCATCTGTAAGAGAAACTGATATATTTACACCTGAAATGATGTTCTCTCGGCATCTACAGCTGGCTAATTCCAGGCGGTGGGTGTAAAGATAAAGCCAGATGGTTTATGAGTTGACAATCTCTGATGCAAGTGACAGGTTCACAGAGGTTGATTTTCCCTACTCTGAGATTTGGAGATTTTTGAAAACTTTCAGAAGACAATTTTCATAAAAATAGTATAATCACTGTTCACATTACAATGTTAAAAATGAAAACATTGCAAATATGAAGGAATGCTTCTTCTTCCTGACCTGGGGAAGCTCTGTCTGTCTGGCTTCTGTGAATGACCTGATGATGCCACTGATTATTCATTTATCTCATGTTTATTGCATAATTACTATGTACTCTGTACTGCAAGCAAGGTGAATGCATTTCCACATCTCCAGATCTAGTGTGGGAATGAAGGCACTGAGCCAGCTGCCAAGATTCTCTAAGTGGAAAATAATGCCCCACGGGGCATGGTCATTGTTAAGATTCCAACATCAAAGCTAGACAAGTTTGCCATGGAACAAATCAGAGGTACTTAATTTGTGATATAGAAATTACCTATGTCTGAATTAACATGTGACAAAGACTGAAGGATATTTGTTAAAATTAGATGCCAAATTCATAATTTATGAAATCAGATTTAATATCACATTAAGAGATAAATCTCATTGAGTAGGTATTATCTGTTCATTGAGTGTAGAAAAAACAAATGTAAGTTCAAAACACTAATTCCTCAGCCTCAATTATCCTATTGATTTTAATATAAACAGGAAGAAAAATCATGGTAAATAAAAATCGAGGTTTCCCATGAAAGGTAAGGATCATGATGGATGTTACAAAGAGATGCTGTGGGGGTCAAGGCTGTCTCCTGGTGGATTTCTCACTGCGCCACTCTCCATTCCTTCAGCACCAATATCGCTTTCCTCACCGTGTTTTCAGGTGCCTTTCTTGGCTCCTTGCTCTCTCTGCCTCCCTGGCAATCTCCTCTGTTCTCAAGCCAACAGTCAGTCTTTCCCATGCTTTTCTTCACTTGCAACATCTGTCTCCTAATATCTCCAGAAGTTGCCTGTTGCCTGCAGAGGGGCTGTGAGAGACCCAGACCCGTTCCTGGACTCATCTCTGCCCAATACGGACACTGGTCAGGAGCGGGCTAGGGTTGGTGTGCAGATCCCTCAGCTCCAGCCATGGCCCAGGGGTTCACCTAGACCAGCTGGTGCAGTTATCTTTAAGGTATCTGTGAATCGGAAGGACTTAAGATTTCTCCCTCACTGCTGCCAGCCTGGAGGCCCTGCAGTCTCTCCTCTCCATACACTCACCGGGTCTTCTCCAAGGTCTCCTCCCACTGACGGCCCCGGACCTCACGGCCAGGATGGGAAGTTATCCTAGTACCTGGCCTCCGGAATATGCAGCTGCTCAGCCTTCAGCATGTACAGAGCTGCAGGTTTCTGCTTGGTTTTAGTTCATTGTTTCCACCATAAAATTGGGGCATATTTTTTGAACTTTCCCTTTAAAAATAAAATGTGAAATTTGAACAAAATGGGGGATGAAGACTACCATCCATGGAGAATGTTCTCAGCTCATGTGGCTATTCCACCCTCCTTCCCTCCCAGAAGAATGTGTCTCAAATGTGAATCACAATCATCTGGAGGGTTTTTAAAACTCAGATTGCTGGACCTCAACTCAAGTCAATCTGGGGTGGGAATGGAGAACGTTCATTTCTAAGATGTTCCTAGGTGCTGTTGATGCTGCTAGTATAGGTACCACATGTTGAGAATGGGATTCTGGGACATCATCAAGCCCATGTGAGACACAGACAGAAAGCTCAAGGTCATTATCCAGTGTCAAATCCAGACAAACCTCCCTCCTCCATCTTGCTTCAGGATGTTACTCTCTCCCCTTCTCTGTCATTGTCAACTACACACATTCTGGTACCAAGTAACCCACTATCATTGGGACACAGTGATCCAAGGGCCCCGTAGCTACTTTTAGAGTGCCATCTCTAATGAGATCATGCACTGTTCCACTCTTAGATACCCTCCACAGCAAAATCCTGTCTTAACCCCACATTCTCCTCACAAATCAGGAACTCAAACACCACATTCCCACCACAAATCTCCAGTTCCTGTTTTTACACAAAGAACTCTACTGTAAATAACCAACCTTCAAGAAAACACTTTACTCCAGTATGAACATCTTCACAGGGCTCTCTCCTTTCTCTCTTCCTATTCCTTTCTTTCAATCTTGGATTCTGTGGTCCATCATTTCAATCATCCACTGACCATGCTTCCAGATTCATCACTCCCATCACATTGGCCCTGTAAGCCTCTGACTTTGGATAATTTCAAATACCTGCCATGCCACATTGACACCTGCACTGAGGATCACCACCGAAGAGAGAGCACACGAGGAGTCTGTGGATCCCAACAGAGAATCAAGAGCAACCAGTGGGCCTATGTGCGTTCTCTAACATGCCATGAATGCTCTGTTAATTTCTTTCCATTTCTTGAGTTCCATAAAAGTCTATTTCTTCCTGACCTACTTCATATTTCACAGATAAATTGTTAACAACCTAGACAAGAACTGTATCACTCTCAGGTCATCAGATCTACAAATATTCCTCATCGGGAATTCATTTATCACAACTTTTCTGTTGTTATAACCAAATAAATTTGTTTCTCAGCTGAAACCATTCTGATTTTTAGCTCATCCTTCAATCTCAATGACCTTATGCCCTCCATATTTGAAGTACTTTCATTTACTTCCTTACTGTACAAATCTCTACCATCTACAAACCAATCCCTCATCCAGCATTCCTAATACTCCTCACCCTCCATGTTCTCCCTCTCCTCCTCTTGCCAGGGATTCATCCATCCCAGAGCCTCTATTTCCAAAGTGCCCACCCAATCCCATATCCACATTCTGTGGATGCTTCTTTGGCTATGCTTACAAGCCCAATGTGGACTTCTCATTGTGTGTCTGACATGTCCTGTGGTAGCATGCGACATCGTGGACTTCAACTTCCTTTGAAAAGCCTGTTCATTCTTGGGATCCACCAGCACTCCACTGTGCTGCTCTTGCCTGTCCGAACTTCCTGGCTTCTCTTTAGGACCAACCCAATGACTGAGGCTTCCCAGAAGTCAGCCCTGCTCGGACATCCGTTCTCCCTCTGCACCCTCCTGCTGGGCAATCCCATCCATTCCCTGCTTCAAATACCACTAATGAGCCAAAAATATTCAAAGAGCCAGCACAGATCTGACTCTGACTCCTAGACTCAAATATCCACCTGCCCACTCACCACATTAGTGACATCAATGACTCAATTCACAGTGACTGGGTTCCAAGCTGAACAAACCACTTCCCCAAATAATTCACTTCTCTTCCAGTGTCCCCAAACTCACTTGTTTGTGCTAATATACTGTGTAACCCAGAGTGTCATTCTGGACACCCTTCCACCCCACACTCATAGCAATGGACCATCCATCCTCCCTCCTGAATCCACCTACATATTTTCCACTTTTGAATTTGAATTATTTCTAACCACTCTTCAAATCTCACACAAAGTGTCATTTACCATAGTGAACTCCCCTAAATTACAAAACTCCATTTTTTCTCTTTGTTGATATTTTTTCTGTTTTACTTATATGGAAATTATCTCTTTCAATATTTAGTCCTTTCTCACTGAATTGAATACTGCACAAAGACAAGACTAACATGGATTTTCTGTTTCCCACAGCAGTGTTCACATATAGCTGTGCACACAAAAAGGCCTCAGATATATTTTATGTATAATATATATATTTATATTTATATACACATGAAATTCAAACACTAAAACTTTGCTTCCTGAAATATTTTAAATCCATCCACTTAACTACACTTACGCAAAGCTATCATCTTTTGAGTGGTATACTGCAATAAATTAGCAATTACAGCTTAAGACGTTTTTCCTGCTCTCCTATCATAATTATTACTACTACATTTTTCATTCCCTGATATGTTCCAGTTTTGAGGGAAAACTATTTGGCCATCCTATTTATAGAGCATCTACTATGTATGAAGTTCTGGTATAAAACCTGTGGTTTCAGTTTATCCAGAAATAAACTAAACAGACTCAATGCCCATTTGACTTAGTCTTAGTGAGAGGAAAGAAATAATACACAGAGCAAAGAGTTTATAACATGTCATGTAGAAATAAGCACTGTTATTAAGGCAGAGAGAGACTTTGAGGCTGTATGCATTTTCAAGTTTAGCTGGGTGCATGTGTACATGCTAGCACACATATGTTGCCAGGGTGGGATAAGTTGCTTCCTCCTGGGGGTGGGGGAGCCTCCTATACCTTGAGGAATTTCCTCTGGTGTACTTACTATGGACTTTGCTATCCATGTGTATTAGTCAAGGTGCTTAGGAGAAACAGAACCAATAGAATAAATATAAACATATAGAAATGGAGGTTTATTATAGGAATTGATTCACAAAGTTATGGGGGCTGAGAAGTCCCACAATCTGCCATCTGCAACCTGGAGAACCAGAAAAGCTACTGATATAACTTAGCCCAAGTCCAAAGGCCTGAGAGCTAGGACCTCTGATGTGTAAGGGCAGCAAAAGATGGACATTCCAGAGGAGAGAGCAGACTCACCCTTCCTTCATCTTTTTGTTCCCTTCGA